AAATTAAAATCAAATTTGGTTATTATTCAGCACTCAAAAAAATTCCCATTCCTTTTCTGACAGATGAACTCATGCACCATTTAACCCCAATTGTGAGGAAAAGGAAAAGGGGTCCATTGAAGAAGAGGTCAAAGGAGAGAATTGAGCAGCTGAATCAGATGGTCCGGTTCCGGTGGGGGCAGAAGATCCGCGGGGCACGGGCCGCTACAACATCGAAGTGGGTACCCCTGGCGTCGGTCTGCGCCAGAAGGACAATGGGGCAGATCCTGAAGTGGGCAAGATTTACAGGCTGATATGTCCTGCATCGCAGGGGGTGAAGTCTGAGAACTTGGATGGGTCGCACTAAGATCGCGGCTAGCGCCCTGATGAGTGGCTCTTGGTCCGCCGGGCAGCCGCCCTCCCGTTCGCAGACGTTCCGCATCAGTTGCCTGAGAACGGCTGCGGCCTCATCGTGGGGGTACAAAGCCATAGTCACTTTCGTGAACAGAGCCCTGTCCCCTCTCGGGACACAGAGCACCTCCAAGATCTCATTGTCAATCTCGACGTCCTTCGTGTAGTCCACACGTCACTCGTCACTGTGCTGTCTAGAACAAAAAGCGATTCAAGTATTAACACCTGCGCCATTCCTTCCGTCCCATCCACGGAGTGCCGGGCTCACCAATGGTGTAGACTGCGCCTGCGAAAGGCTCGTCTGCTAGCCCGAAAGACCAACCCCGTCCGCTCGGCTCCGCGCCGCGCGGGAAGCGGCCGGGCTAGAGAGGGGAGGGGGGAGCTGGGAGAAAGGAAAAAGGAGGGGAGGGGGAGGCGACAAGCGCGGCAGCGGCTCGGCCAGAGCACAGTCTTATCAGGTCTGGCGAATAGTCGGTGCTTCAACCCAGAACCTGGCAGGTGAGTGTCGTCAGTCCCGCCTCCGCGGTGTAGAGGTTGCAGCAGAGCCGTACATTGATGTCATTCTCCCGTGTCACAGCGGTGGTGGATGATCTCGTGGTGGGATCTAAACGGTGGAGTCTTGGAAGAGATGGATGCAGAGAGCGGCGAGTGGGGCGCCGCCCCCAGTTCGGACTCAGGGCATGGGGCCCCAGTGACCCAGCTCGGTGTCGCTGATCGTTCTACCCGTGGCCGCCCCCCCGCCAGCCCCTGTCTGCTGCGAGAGCCCCCCCGCGGACCCAACCCAGCCCCAAGTGTTAGGAGCCCGGCCAGACTCCGCGGGCGGGCACCGCCCCCATGGGGCCGCGGGAAACGACATTGTGCCTCTAGAGCCCCATCACGGGTCCCAGTTGACTCCACCGCGTCATTCATGGGTCATTCTTTGTGGGTTCAACGAATCCTAAAACGGCTGAATTTTAAAATTTTTAAAAACGTCAAAATTTTCGTAGAGTATGACCAACTACACTCAAAAAACACTGGGAGAAGTTTGGGAAATTTCCCGTTTAGTTTTCCCAATATTGGGTATTTTAGTGCGTTTTAGCCATTTCAATGCTTTGTAAAATATACGAAAAATAAAGATATTGACCAGGACAAAATTGCTTTTAAACCAGTTTTAAATGCTGATTAAAATGAGATAATGGACATTTTGGTCAAAAAAATTTAAGGTCCTCAAAATTAAATGTAAAGTAGAAAAAAGTGTCTATCTCAAATACGTGGTAGCTGAAAATCAACGTAACCTGGTCTGAATAGTACCTTTACGTTGTCCGACTAAAACCCTACAACGATTTTGTTCGGCCCAACACAACTTCATTTCATCGGTCAAATGTAAGGGATAATCATGTTTCGAAACAATCATATGGCCAATGTGTCATGGAATGACCCTTTATAGTGATGTGTTTGCTCACTTTACATTTAAAGAGATGGTTCATCACCTGCATGCCCTGGTATATTTGAGAATTCACTGGATGTCTCATGAATAAATGAAACTTCCTTCACACAAGCAGCGCACAGTGGGCTAGAATCCAAAAAAAGCGGACAAAAGTACGATAATTTTTTAACGATTTGGGCTAAAACGACTAGTGGACCTTGTAGCGCAATGTTCAAGGATTTCAAAACGCATTAGTTTGTATTTTTAGCTGCAAATCTTCACCTTGAAATATCATTTTGAAATCAGCTATTTTGCGGTGCCCGCATGGACGGCTCTAACCTCACTATCTTATATTGTTATTTTTATCGTTGTTCATAGCTTCAGCCGCCCACACGTTTGCTGACGTGTTGTTCTAAACACAACGAAACATATCCAGGTGCAGGTCATCAATTATTTACCCCCCACCCCCCAAAAAAACTGAAAAGTAAAACTCTCCCCCGATTGCGATTTGGGCCAACTTGAAAAGGCCGTAAGTAACAAAATCATGAAAAATCAAAGAAACCGACAATTGATTCTTGAAGTTCGAAACCTTGTTTACAAGATCCCGTAGTCGGTTTTTGCGGTATTTTGCGGTCTTGCGAGAAAAAGACTTGTTTTTGGACGAATGTTGGTGGACTTTGCGGTGGCGCGGCCTAATAGGGTCGCCTAACCGACTGCACCTCGTATGAAATCATTGAAAAAGTGTCAAAAATCCCTTAAAAAATCATGCAGAGTCCTACAAAATCAGAAAACAATCCAAACAACAACCTATTTAAAAAATCGTAAAATATTGTAAAAATGGAGAAAAAATCGTAAAAATTCGAAAATAAATTGTAAAAATCAGCAAAAAATCAGCAACAATCAGCGCAACCGTAGACCTCCGTAACCGAACTTTCACGTGATTTGAGTAAGATTTTGAAAACTCCCCCCCTTTTTGACCTGGATCCGCCTCCTAAAAGTTCAAAATTATTAAAAATATGGAATCAGCGCACCCGAAAACCCCCCTGAACATACCGATATCGTATGTGCGATGCACCCAATAACTGTTATGATTTATGTCCGCTTTTTTTTGGATTCTAGCCCACTGTGCAGCGCCACGGTCCATCCAAGGAGAGTTGACGAAGGGTACATTAGTTAGTAGCAGCAGTAAATGTCATACATCACATAGTCCATATCTATTACAAGTAATCTGATATGATAAAGTTTTAGGTCTAACTTACAGATCCTTAAGATAACCTCTAGCAGCCACAATGTAGTTAGGCAGCAGGTAGCCGACCATCGCCGACCTGAAAATACTATAATCTTCAAAACAAATTGGAGCACAGTTCAAGGGAGATCATAGTCGCACGATGATAGCGACTGGCATAAAGGCATTCTATGCCAAAACTTTGATAAATGCCTATATCACTCGGTCTTGTTAACTTTAGGGATGCGCCATGTTTGCTTGTTTGTTTACTCATGATGAGACAAAGGTGGCGCCATCCCTCGGGAGCAACGCGAAGCTCAACTACCCCTCGCCCCTGCTCCAGGGCGGGATAGGCCACCCGCCAGCCAGGGCCCTTGAGGCCCCCTCCCCTTCGCACCCCACCGCCTCTTTGCACACAGTAGTTTTGTCTGACTAAAAAAACCGCCGTGCGCGTGCCGAGTGCCAAAGTTAAATCTACTGCGTGGTCTGAGCGAGCCTGGGGTCCCATGGCGAACATTTTTTCAAATTTACCCTGACTTCTTATTTTGAACGATATTGTCTATTTCTCGACGTAGGATGTTAGATTGGTCTTTGTTCCTTCTAAAAATACTTATATCGAGTTCGTAGCACCCTTAATGTTAAAAAAGAAGAGATTTTAGCAAAGCTCTGCAAAAGCTCATGGGACCCCAGGCCTGGGGTCCCATGAGCCTGCCCTGGGGAAACATAAGCCTTTGCCAATATTAGGCAATAAAGTAGAGCTATTCACATTCGAATCAAAGGGAATGATAAATATAGTCTCCATTTATGCGGCTGATCTGGTATAATAGCTTTGTCGCAAGAGAAACAGCCGTAGAAAATATTATTTATGTTTGTATTAACCTTATAGAGCAAGTTCAAAGTAAAAAATTCTTCGGGATCGAAATTTGATCATGGTAATGCTGTTAAGAGGCATTTTACTAAACAAGCACACAATATATGAAGGAAAAAGGAAAAAAGATTTTTATGAGGCATACGATGGGGACCCCAGGGTACACTTTTCGGAATAAATGTTAAAATTAAGTGAATAAAAGGAGACTTCGCCCAGAAATATAGTTCTAAAATACAGTCGAAAGACCACAGAACAGATTGATACCATTACAGTGACTGATAGTGGACGTTTGAAGTATGAAACAAAAGGTCAAAGTGAAAATTCAAAAGTTACTTTTGACTGAAAATCGCTATTAAAAAGTTTGACCGCCACTCACGCCTGTTGGATCGCTCATAGTGGTAAGCCCAGGCTCGGTTTCGAACAACCACCTGACCGACAACTTAACAGCAGTTTTGGTCAGTGACTCTGATTTACTAATGCTGAGATATCGGGCCAGGCTCATGGGACCCCCAGGCTCATGGGACCCCACGCCCCACGCTCCCTTACTTGTCATCGTCATATGTTAAGCCGTTTGGCTGCTATAAGGGCCTGTAAACTATTGACTTTCAAGCCGTTCCCGGACGAAAACTATTCAATTTAATACCTTGAAAAATAGACCACGCACTAGGCCTGAAAATCCCAGGTCGCTAGCTGAAATCGTTCTTGGGTTATCGTGCGGACACACACACACACACACAGAAAAAGTTTTTTTCCGACCAGACGGAGTAATAGGCTTCGCTAATCGCTCAGCCAAAATATTTGAGCCTCCTAGCTCAAACCGTTCTCGAGTTATCCATATGGTCGTCATGTTGACAGTCTGTGCACAAATTCCTCCTCGGGCACAGTGACCATCTTAATTCAGATTTTTATTTCCCTCAGATGACTTTGACTGGGAGTTCTACATGAGAGAGGCCAGTTCAGCACCAGAACCAGAGGAGGCGTTGGCGAGGTCTCTATCTCCGCAATCATCTACTTCCTTCGGGCTGCTCTCCCAAAGCTCGAGCCACGAACTTGGCTCGGTCAGGTGCCAAAGGCCCGACCATTTCAGTCTCGCGATTTACTGAAGTGCATAATCAAATAAATAATGTGACCAGTAAATCACTTTGCATATTTGAGTAAACTAAAGCGTCCGGCGGTGGGGCCTGCGGCCCTAGAAATTTGCTCCTTGGACAGGACAAAAGACTGTAACGGGGCAACACCGTGACTACACCCCACCCTTCTGCTTTGCTTCAGAAAAATACAAAAAAAAATGAACCAGCGCAGTTTTTTGATTGTATTGTTTGTCAGTCCTAAAACTTGACTTTCTGCTATTGTTTTCGATGTATCCACCTCTAGGGCCGAAACAGTAAAAGATACGGCAAATCCGAGGGTAGTTTCTGATTCAGAATGTGTTGTTTTGGGGGGGTACTTCCTCTGACATTTTTACGATCAGACGCCTCCTTGTACGTCTTGAGCAACGCGGTCATTTTCGCCGTATTTCGTCATAAAAAGCACTGTAGCGCCCAAACGGTGCAAGATAGGGTCAAACGGACGAAATTTTCGCGCCAAGGACTTTACTTTCACGGGTGACCCCTTAGGTGACCATGAGAACAAGCAGGCCCGCCCTTCCGCCAAACG